AAAAAAAAAAAAAAGAAATGTAAGAGGTCTGTGTACGTATAGTGGTGTGTAGCAGGTCAGTAGGGAACTTCTTCCCAGAGCTCTGATGTTCAGTGGGAACCTGTCTGTGTCAGCCTCCAGCCCAGAGACCCTGTGAGCTGAGTTATAAGCTGGGCATCAGGCACAGCTGGTTGTGGGGAACCTGTGCCCTGTGGGAAAGGATGATAGGAGCATCGTGGTGACATGTTTCGTGCTACATCAATAGCCCTGTGAGGAGTGAATTCATATGAAGTCCAGCCTCAGTTGCCCACCCAGATTCCAGTCAACTAACTGTACCTCACGGCACCTTCAGATCAGCCTGTCTGTCCAAACACAGGAATGATTCCCTTTCCTCTTTATTCTCAACTCTGCTATGTGTGTGGAAAGGAGAGGTGAGACTAAAAAGTGAATGGTGAGCCTCACTTTGAGCTAGTTAGGAGTGTGGATGAGATAGAGGGGATGGCCCTGTCTTGATAGAATATCAGATCCATCTGCTATAGAGGGGATCTTTGCTCATTAGACCTTTGATATTCATTTGATTCAATGCCAAGGTGGGCCTTATTTATTTGTCCAACTAATTTCCATCATATATCTCTTATAGCCACTTCAGCTGGCCAGTCTGTTCCTGAAAGACTCCAAAATACTTCTCAGGAGGCACCTGGCTGGCTCAGTTGGGAGAGCATGCCACTCTTGATCTCCAGGGCATGAGGTCATGAGTTGGAGCCCCACGTTGGGCATAGAGATTACTTAATTAAAAAAAAAAAAAATTGCCTCTCAGGGCTTGTGAAGTAGGCCTTGACACCAACATGGTAAATTCCACAAACCTTGTAAGGAATAGCAATCACCCTGAATCCCAAAGATTCTACATAGAGGAGCAAGTGGGTCAACTCTGGGTTCCAAAGCTCTTGATAGCATCAGGAGAAATTAAGTCATTTTGCCAAGGCCACCTGCCTAATAAGTGGGAGAGCTGGATTTGGTACAGTTTTGTTTGACTTGGAATCAAGCCATGTTCTTCATGACTAAAGCCCATGAGTCCCTGGGACATTGCTGGCCCATTGGGGTTATACCTTCCTCTCCTTTACAGGTATTCCTTCCTTAGTAAATAGGTTGTCCTTGCTTTCTCCTTCCTATTTCTTTTTCTTTTCTTTTCTTTTTTTTTATTAACGTTTTTATTCATTTTTGAGAGGTAGAGAGAGACAGGGTAGGAGTGAGGGAGGGGCAGAGAGAGAGGGAGACACAGAATCTGAAGCAGGTTCCAGGCTCTGAGCTGCCAGCACAGAGCCCGATGCGGGGCTCGAACCCATGAACCATGAAACCGTGACCTGAGCTGAAGTCAGACACTTAACTGACTGAGCCACCCAGATGCCCCTTCTACTTCCTATTTCTAACATATTTTTGGATATTAATCAGAACCACTGTGCAGATAGAAAGAGGAAATGCAATGAAAATCTATTTCTGAAAATTTAATTCTTGGTTGTAAGGTTTTTAAAATAGATTTATCAAGAAAAAAGTAAATAAAAGGTTCACACTTGAGACTCTTCTATTTCTCTTCAAATCTGATACTATAATTACTCCATTAGCATTTTCAAAGAGAACTATACAATTTTGTCTAGAACTCTTAACATGCTTTGGGACCCAGCTACAGGAATTGAGATAGCCATAGTAATAGTAGCTCACATTTCATACGCATTTATTCTTGCAGTTGTCCACACATTTTAATTTTTAATTCCCCAGTAAAATAGCTGATTAAGTGGAAGTGCTAGAATTTAAAATGTGGCCATGCTCAGTTCACCATCTAATGGTTCGTGGGATCGAACCTCACATTGAGCTCTGCACTGACAGCACAGAGAGGTTTTGGATCTTCTCCCTTTCTCCTTTATGCCCTCCCCTCCTGCCTGGGTGTGCGCACACATACACACACACACACACACACACACACACA